CTAGATATTTTCTGTAATTTTACTCTGAGACAAAACTCTTACTCATCAATGATCTAATTCTACAACAGTTCATTAGATTTAAATTTTTGAACTTAGATGGCTACATTGGCGCACAGACAATTCGGCTAAAGAAAATTCAGCCAATTTGAAATTCAGACAATTCAGTCAAAAGTATACAGACAATTCAGCCTGAGACAATTCAGCCAGTTTTACAAAACGCTTGATTCGAAAGAAAAAAATCGGATTTCGAGATATTTCTCGCTTTAAGGTCGCCCGTGGGCTCACTAAGCGAGCGTCGCCGCTTCGCAGCGATAACCGGCTCCAAAAATCGTATAGAGTCCTACCCTCTGTTGGCAAGCTCGCAACACGTTGGCGCGACTGCGGCTGTCACTATTATAGGCTGAATTGTGTCTGGCTGAATTGTCTGCATATTTTGACTGAATTGTCTTAATTTCAAATCGGCTGAAATGTCTTTGGCCGAATTGTCTGGACGCGGGCTGCATTATAGCGTGCCTTGGGGACGGCGTGCACGGCTATATAGTTATTTACAGTGGTAAGTACGAGCTGTTTTGGAATTTATTACGTTAGTGTTCTCATCAATTGGTAATCAGCTCTCAATTAACCCTTCCTATGATTGGTATCAGTAACCATCAATGTTTATATACTTAAGCAAACAGTATGATTGAGCTCGAAACTAATAACAAAATAAATTATTTAATATATTCTATAAAATAGCAAATAAGGCTGAATTGTCTTTGGCCGAATTGTCTGTGCGCCAATGCAGCCATCTAAGTTCGAAAACTTAAATCTAATGAACTGTTGTAGAATTAGATCATTGATGAGTAAGAGTTTTGTCTCAGAGTAAAATTCAGCCTGAGACAATTCAGCCAGTTTTACAAAACGCTTGATTCGAAAGAAAAAAATCGGATAACATATTCTATAAAATAGCAAATTGGCTGAATTGTCTTTAGCCGAATTGTCTGTGCGCCAATGCAGCCATCTAAGTTCGAAAATTTAAATCTAATGAACTGTTGTAGAATTAGATCATTGATGAGTAAGAGTTTTGTCTAAGAGTAAAATTCAGCCTGAGACAATTCAGCCAGTTTTACAAAACGCTTGATTCGAAAGAAAAAAATCGGATTTCGAGATATTTCTCGGTTTAAACCTTCCTATGATTGGTATCAGTAACCATCAATGTTTATATACTTAAGCAAACAGTATGATTGAGCTCGAAACTAATAACAAAATAAATTATTTAATATATTCTATAAAATAGCAAATAAAGCTGAATTGTCTTTGGCCGAATTGTCTGTGCGCCAATGCAGCCATCTAAGTTCGAAAATTTAAATCTAATGAACTGTTGTAGAATTAGATCATTGATGAGTAAGAGTTTTGTCTAAGAGTAAAATTCAGCCTGAGACAATTCAGCCAGTTTTACAAAACGCTTGATTCGAAAGAAAAAAATCGGATTTCGAGATATTTCTCGGTTTAAACCTTCCTATGATTGGTATCAGTAACCATCAATGTTTATATACTTAAGCAAACAGTATGATTGAGCTCGAAACTAATAACAAATTAAATTATTTAATATATTCTATAAAATAGCAAATAAAGCTGAATTGTCTTTGGCCGAATTGTCTGTGCGCCAATGCAGCCATCTAAGTTCGAAAATTTAAATCTTATGAACTGTTGTAGAAATAGATCATTGATGAGTAAGAGTTTTGTCTCAGAGTAAAATTCAGCCTGAGACAATTCAGCCAGTTTTACAAAACGCTTGATTCGAAAGAAAAAAAATCGGATTTCGAGATATTTCTCGGTTTAAACCTTCCTATGATTGGTATCAGTAACCATCAATGTTTATATACTTAAGCAAACAGTATGATTGAGCTCGAAACTAATAACAAAATAAATTATTTAAAATATTCTATAAAATAGCAAATAAGGAATGCATGACATCATGCATTGATGTCACAATGGCTGAAAGTTTTCTATGTCTGAAATATTTAACAGTTTCCAGTTCTAAAGATTGTTCTGAAAAAGCTGGAGTTTTACTGATTTATTCTGCGACTCAATCTGATACAGAATTTCAAAAAAAAATCAGACTTTTACGATTTTTACCAACAAATGTTTAAGTGAGAGGAAAATACTGCTCTTCTGAACTACAAACTTTACACCGGTACAATAAATCTGTTACAAACGGGGTTCAAAAAATCTATTAAATTCTATTTTTCTACACAAAAAACATGCGCTTTCGGATAGTTTCTAATTAAAAGGTTAGTTTCTCGGCAGACTCGTTGTTTTTAGCAAATTAAAATGTATTCTAATTATCCACAAATTTCTAGAAAGACAGCGTTGTGAACTGAAATCGATTATCTTGTACGCGAAGTACTATGTTCTGATGACTGAAATTGAAAAAAATGCTTTTAATTCCTGAAGTATTCGACAAATTCTTCAAAAAAGAACATTTTACGTTTGTTTAAGTCATAGAACTTTCCAAAAAATGTACATCAAAACTTTACCCGGCAACTACATACAGACTTTCTTAGATAATTTTTCAATAGGCTCCTAAAAATTCTCCTAAAAAGGCTTTTGTTAACTGAATTCGAACGCTAGCATATGACTTTTAAGAAAAATTGCGGAACACGCAATTGTACATTTCCATCGTATATATTAAAATGAAGGCAATACTATGACTAGTTGATTTTCATCAATAACTTCTACGAAATTTAAATTTTTAAGTAATTATTTTTCAAATCAAAGATAATAATTATCATTTATAATATTGTAGTGCGATTCCTGTAGTGCAGCACAGACTGTTCCGACCTGATTAAAGATACAACCAAGAATAAGGAAAGCATTTTTTTGCCCCAATTGTTTGCCAAAATTGTTATTTTTATCCAGAAAAGGCTATTGAAAAAGGCGAACAAATGCATGAATTGCCAATAAAAAAAAACGAAAACATTCAGACGTTTTTCTCGAAACTGAGAGAAATTATTCAAAATTTGATAGGAACCGAATCACGACCAAAAGGGCTTTAATTTGTTACGACACACCCCCTGCGAGCGTTCTTGAAGTTATCAAAATTGGCTAGCAAAAGCGACCCGAACCCAAAATTCTTTTCGACTTTTCGAATGGTCGGAGCAAAAATGAAGAATAAATTTAATTTATGTTGAACCTACCTTTGAATCATCTTGCTTAGAGATACTTTCAGCTGTAACCGACACATCTTCAACTATAATAAGCGGATTCCGAGTAAAGTTCACTTCGGTCAACTTTTTAATAGTCATTATGAGCCAGGGCAACTAATTTTCAATTACTTCAATTAATGAAATTTATTGCCAAAACTTTTTTTTTTAAAGTTTTTATTTTATTTCTATTTCAATTCGATCAAGCTAAATAAAAAGAAATGATTTAAAAAATTGATTATCAAATTCGAATTGAGCCAACACGCAAGGAAACAAAAATATAGCAATTGAATTGGAAAAACCATTGATCTGAGTTTTTGATTCTGTTCAGCTGATATATCAATTAAGTAAACAATCGAGGGTTTACGCTGAGTTGATTTCTAGAATTTTATCAATTAATCTCGGCTGCAAACTTGAGAGCCGAGCCATTAAATGGAACCACCCGACCGGAGCCAAATCAAAGCAAAATGTCAGGAAATGTCGTGAAATAACTGATAGACGGGTCGATCGAAAGTGGATCACGTGAACACTTTCCTTTATGGGTGGAAATCACAAGGCAAAAGAAATAATTTCAGTATTCAAAAAATCTTAAAGAAATCGTGGCTGCAGTCAAATTTTTGAAGAGTTAAAAGGACTTTGAGGGGCTGGAAAATTTCTGCTATTCGGTTCTTCTGTCATGAGAACAGTCACCTTCGTAAAACCATTGATTGCTCTATTAAAAGCGGACATTGATGTGAGCAATTTCCTCTGCAATCACTTAATGAGGTAAAGGGTTCGCGTAATTTAATAGTCTTTTTTTCTGTCAATCGAAATTAAAAATTTTGTACCAAGTTAACCCAATGCTAAAGCTTGTTTTTCCGATATTGAAAGACAGGTTCATTTGATTGGTTTTAAGACAAAATTGTTCACTTGACCTTTTAACGAAAAGATTACACGAAGGAAATCAAATTAAGGAGACAAAAGATTGGAGCAACATGAAATTTGGTTGAACATGAAGTTCTAACGTCATTTTTGAATCGTCATTGAGTAAATGTTGGTTACTTAGGAAATCTCGAACTTGAAAAAAAATGGTTTTCTAGGAGTAACCGGTTTTCTAAGTTTCAATTAACCTAACTTTATCGCCTTTCAGATAAAATAGCTTTTCTATCACTTGCAGCTAAATTCGAATTCTTGTAAAAGAAATATTTTTAAGGCCGCGTCAAACTACCTTATCATAGGTGGACGCCCCTTCTCAGGGATTAGACCCCCTGCCGACCCAAAGGGTCCCCTTTGGTACTTTTTAAGAAATCCATTTTTGGCCGACCGACCCTAAAATTTTTCTAAAGACGCCTTAGGCGCCAATATATACTAACTTTGAGAAGCGCGCGCCAAAAAAACGCGATTTTTTTGTCAAAATTTTCCAAAAAGTGCCCAAAAACGGCTTTTTTGACGTGTTTTTTCAAAAATTTTACTGCGGCGCAGAAAATTTGGCCAAAACAGCGTCTTTCTTTTTAGTGCTTTAAGAGAGCTCGGAAAACCAATTTGGTCGACCTGAAAAAAATTTGAAAATCCGCCCCCCCCCCCCAAAGAAAATCCTAGATCCGCCCCTGGCTACAATATGGGGAATTTCAGCCCCCTGCCCACCCAAATGGTAAAATACGATGCTTATAGTGTTTTGGGAGAGAAAAGAAAAAACCCTAGATTCAAAACTGGTGTTAAGTAAAAAGTTAATCACTTGTGATCAAGTGGAAAATGCATTGGTCGCGCCAATAGAGCAATTCGCCTCAATACTTGAACTTCAAATACCTTTAAAACAGGCGCGATTCTAGGATTTTCTCAACGGGGGGGCACTTTCTAACATAATGCGATTTTCCGAAAATGAGTCACAGCTGTTAAATTCACGCCTCATTTTGTCGCCTTTTTCAGAAATATGTGTGATTAGCGGTTCTGGATGAATACTTTTGAAATACAATGATGCGAAAACTTGAGTCCTTTGAAATTCACACATGTTATTAACACTTGTTTTTTTGGCCGCAAAATTCAGTATATATTTGAACGCTAAATTTACAAAATCATTCCACTCAAATTCACTTTCAGAGTAATGTCTAAACGCAGTTCGACAACAAATCCGTCACCGAGGTCATCCTCAAAGATTACGTCCTTCTTTGGTTTTTCAACTCCACAAGCATCACAATCCAGTGAGTTTCAATTTTTATTTTCATTATTTTTTCAATCAAAATTTTGTTTTATTGGTTAGCGTTTTGATCGTTTGTGGAACTCTACGTTTTGTTTCAGGCGACCTATCCCAGTCTCCCGTGACAGAATCAGATGTCGTGACCGAGAATCAGCCTAGCACTTCTGGTACCCAACCTGCAGTCCATGAGGCTTCAACGGACACCCCTGCTGACATTGGTGTTTTTGTGGGCGATCCTTCGTCAGCAACTGATGGACAGAAATATGCTCTTCTGAAGACTCGACAAATACCCGTTTTCCCCGGAAACAACTGGCCGCATGAGACAAGATCGGGAAAAAAGAGACACCTCAATGCACGGCATTTCGAGATTCATGGATCGTGGCTGTGTTACTCACATGAACCAGCTGGACTGTTCTGCAAAGTCTGCCTGTTCTTCGCAGATCGGGACGCGGTCAGACGACGAAATGGCAGCACAGCGCCCGTGACCTTCATCAACAAAGGATGCACCCGATACAGCAGGCTCACAGGCAGTGAGGGATACTTCGACGCCCACTGCAACACAAACTACCACAAGGACGCCTCCCTGGTCGCACTAGATTTTATCTACGCATTCGAGCATCCCGCCAAGTCAATAGATCAACAACTGGACAAACAGGTTCATCAGAGAGTTGCAGAAAACCGGAAACGCCTCAAGCCCATCGTCAGCACAATTGTTTTTGCTGGTCGGATGGGACTTCCTCTCCGCGGTCATCGAGACTCTGGGTCGCTGACGGTTCCAGAGACGGTGGAAGACATTGACGCCGAGTGTGGCAACCTGAGAGCACTTCTACAATTCAGAGCGGTCAGTGGGGACGAAGACCTCAAAGAGCACCTGATATCCTGCAAGAAAAACGCTACCTACCTCGGCATGCAGTCTCAGAACGAGATCATTGGGGACATCGGAGACCAGATACAACAGACAATCGTCAAGAAGATCAAGAAAGCGAGGTTTTTCACAGTGATCGCAGACGAAACAACTGATGTGTCGCGCAAAGAGCAAATGTCACTCTGTGCTCGTTTCGTCACTGATGGGCGAATCAACGAGGAGTTTCTGGCTTTTGTGGAAGTCAAAGACTTGACTGGTTCAGGGCTAGCAGAAAAAATACTCTCAACAATCCGCCATCTTGGACTGGACCCACAAGACCTTGTCGGACAGAGTTACGATGGGGCATCGGCGATGTCGGGAGTTCACAGCGGTGTGCAATCGCGAGTTCGTGAGTTGTTTCCACGTGCAATCTGGATGCACTGTGCCTCCCATTGCCTCAACTTGGTAATCTCATCAAGTAGCAACGTTCCAGCTATTACAGCGGCTGACGGCCTCATCAACAAGGTAGCCAACCATCTGAGGAGATCTGCAAAACGATCAGAAGTTTTCAAAGCAGCAGTAGAGGCTGTCCACCCCGAAACGTCCCACACAGTGCTACCTCGTCTGTCGGATACCAGATGGGTCGAGCGACATGATGCAGTCCTGGTCTTCGCAGAGCTCTACGACTCAATTGCGATGACTTTGGAGCAGATCAGCCAGTGGAACGACAGAGAAGCTGCCTCCGAGGCAATATGTCTTCTTGCAGCCATTTCCCGTCATGAGTTTGTCATTTCTCTGCAGTGCTTGAAACATGTGCTCATCCTGACAAAGCCCGTCAGCATCAAATTGCAAGCTGTGGATCTCGAGCTGGTGGGATGTCTCAAACACATCCGGACTGTGTGCAACCTTCTACAGACATGGCGAGACGGATCTGGGAGCGGTTCTTTTGACAATGAGTACAAAGATGCTGAAGAGATGGTTGGCGAACTTCGGATAGATGCCCTTCCTTCTGCCAGCCGACGACGTAGAACGACTACTCAACCAACAGCATCAGACCCGAAAACGCACTATTTGCATACAGTTTATTTGCCTTTCTTAGATTATTTGCTACAAGACTTCAACGATCGGTTCCTGCAACACTCCGAGAAGATATCAGGACTCGCTCGTCTTCTGCCTTCCAGCATACACGACTGCTCACTTGATCCTGATGACATTTGCGATTGCCTCGAGTTTTACGGCCCCCTTCTTCCCAGTTCCTCTGGTGTCGCAGCCGAGATCGAGCTGTGGCAACAGAAGTGGGTTCACGATGAAAATGCCCCATCAACCGCCGTGGAAGCTCTTGAGCACTGTGATCCAGCTTTCTTCTCGAATGTCAGTGTTCTTCTTACGGTGCTTGCGACCCTTCCAGTGACAACTTGCTCAGCAGAGCGCTCCTTTTCTGTTTTGCGTCTCCTTAAGACGTATCTGAGGTCCAGAATGGGAGAAGAGCGTCTGACGGGACTTGCAATGATGTACGTACATTCAGACCTCAAGATTGACCTGGACGACATTATCAACCGTTTCAGCCAGAAGAACCGACGACTAGAGTTCCAACGATAAACTCATTCCATTTTTTGAACTCATTCCATTTTACATTCCGTTTGGTTATAAACTCTCTGAAATATGAAATATTTCGCTTTAACTGATTTTTCAAGGAAAAAATAGTCATTAAATGGTGCGCCGAAGGCGCTTTTCGGAAAATTATGTACTCAAATATGTATGAAAAAACTGGTTCTTTTTTTGGTTCCCTTCAAAAGGGGGGGGGGGGGGCACGTGCCCCCCCCCCTAAAATCGCGCCTGCTTTAAAATGATTAATTTTATAAATGTTTAATTCAAAGGGGAGCAAAAATACTGAAAAAGAATTACAACCCTTTGAAACAAAAAATAAAATAAGTTTATAAAAATTTGTTTGTCTTTGATATCGAGAGTATTCAGAAATGCAGGAATTCACTCGTTTCTCCAGGCTAGCAAGATGAAACTTAAATTTGGAGAAGATCAACTTACAAGGATGATGAATACGTTGACCAAATCTTGATTCAAAAACCAGTTGACATTTTTCCACTATCTTTTCAGCTGCTTTTCTCGCCTCGGGTCAAAAAATGAAACTGCGATTGAAATGACGATGTTTCAATGGCGCGTAAGATATCAAATTTGAAATTCCGAAGGGTATGAAAACATATTCTGTAACGGTTATCTTTTTTAAGACCTGATAGCATCACATCGCAATTTGTTAATAAAATTACAAAGAAAAGAGATCTAGGTGCCTTTAAATAATTATGAAAATTTTGAAAGCTTCCCTATTTTTTGTTAGCTTTAAGTCAAGAAAAACCCGAGGACTATTTAAAACTAACAATCTAGATGAAAAACTGTGACTAGTTAAAATTTAATTTACCTTGAATAAATGCTAATTGGTCTGATCTTCAGTTGGCATGAATAAACGGTCTTTTTGAAAATTACTTAATTGAGAGATTTCAATTCAATTTTTTTTTCTTATCTGGTGCTTATTATATCCTTAGTTTCCTAATAATATTGTTTGAAAAAATTTATAAACCAATAATTTGGATGGCAAAACGACACGCTTTCACACTTAGCTCTTCTCGCCGAAAGCATTTTTAGTCTAACCGACTTATTGTTCCGTTCTTTTGCTGGAAACGATTTTAAATTCAGGCTCTTTTCTCCCCGCAAGATCAGGTAACACAAACTCAGTTCAAGAGCAACTAAATAATTGTGGTTTCTGCGATTGGCAGAGGATCAATGAAAAGCTATCTAGCTTGTCTACGCATGGTCCGTTTCTCTTATTTCCCTACATTCCAGACTGAGTTATTTTGATGAGCGTAGCTTTTTTTGCGACTCAAAGTCGTTTTTTTTGCGTCTAGAACTTTCACGTGGTACCACTATTGCAGCCGAACTTGGTCACGCGTCTAGAACTTCACGTGGTACCACTATTGCAGCCGAACTTGGTCACGCGTCTAGAACTTCACGTGGTACCACTATTGCAGCCGAACTTGGTCACGCTGTAAGACCTGAAGCTAGAGGTCAAGTGAGAGCTCTCCTCACACACTATCATTGCCATAGCAGGGGATCGAAATACAATTGCCACAATTCATATCAGCCAAAAAACGCCAACAACTTCAACTCATAGTTTTTCAAAAAAAATTATTCATCAATCATAACAAGACTGCTCATATTAGGGTGAAGCCCTGAATGTCACGACTCTCCGCAAACGTCAATAAAATTTTTTTTTTAGTTGAAACAAATTTTTTTAAAATTTTTGAAAAACTGACTTTTGACTTTTTTATATCTTGTTTCATCTGCCTACACTCTATGTAAAAAACAAAACGATATTAATAAAACCAAACTGCTGGCTTCAAAATGTATTAAAAATTTAAAAAACAATGTTACTTTCCATAAACAATAAGGTCTTTCAATATATTGTCCATTAAAATGATTTCGACTTTAACGAAAACTACTGCGTTACAAAAGTTTAACTGCAAATTTATTTTAGCCAATAACATTTGTTTATTCTTCAGAAAATCTAATTTGCCATTTAGTGGGGTAACTTAAAAAACATAACAACAACAAGTTGAAATTTGTCTGACGAAAAAAAATACACCAAGTACAAACTTTCCTTCACTTTCATCGAAAGTCGTAGTATTAATTTGAAGTGCATAAAAACAAAACAAATAACTCAAGTTGATAAAACAACATAGCCAACAGACAGTCCGAAAAAGGCCATGCACACAAAGAAATAGAAAAAACAATGACTTGTTTTTTGAAAAAACTTCAAATTTCGAAAATCAAAAAATATGTATATGGCCTTAAGGCTCTTTGATTTTCAAAAAATAATTGTGATTGAAACTTTTTTTGATAAAAATAACTCAACTTGAAAAAAAACTAGATTATTTGATAACATTTCTGTTCCGTTGGGAAATCTGTAAATTAATTTCCACTTTCGAAACTAGAAATCGATCACGTTTTGCGTGCTTTTTAAACACTTGCTATTCGATTGTGCAGTTTGCCTTCCTTTCAACTTTTAAATGGAAAAATGCATGAAAACTTTCCGCAACAGATTGTCCAGTTTTCGAAGTTGAAAGCACGGAATTCGGACACAGAATCAAATTGGCTGTAAAAATCCGATAAAAATTTTGTGTTGGCCAAAGAATGGATCTAAAACTTTCAAAAAATGAGTGATGTACTATTTTTGCACTTATCGGGTTTCAAACAACTCATACTCAAAAGTTCTCGTTTTTAGAGAATTTGCCAGCACTTATTGTGGAAAATTCGGCCGAATAATCAGATAGTTTGAAATTGCCTGTGTAACAAAATGAACTAAAAACTATAATTGCAGTAGTCAAATTCAAAAAACCACCCAATGCTCGTCAAATATGTGAATTGATTTAGGTTAAAAAAACAGAGTGGCACAAAAGTTAAAAAAAACAACCACATCTTTTGAAAACCAGTTTATCGAAAAGATTATTCATATGATATCACAAGACTTCAAAAATAAGAGTGGTTATTTTGATAACACTTTTGAAATGATTTTTTCTGCAAAAGTAAGGGCAAAAAATGTGGAAAAAATCTAATTTGCGAGGACTTCTTATGAAAAGACAAAAAAAAGGTAGATTCTATCTCAAATATAATTATATTTAAAAAGCTGGGTCGAGACTTTCCTTTGTCTTAAGGAAATGTTTTTAAAGACCCGCCGTGTAGTTAGTCACACCCATTTACAGCAATTTGAAAAGATAGCGTACCAAAAGTTTCGATCAAAAGTTAAAAATCTTGAAAACGATCCGACTGCCAACTTAAAAAATTTCTTTCAAAATTTCTTTAAAAAAAATAAATACTGACATGAACAGTTCCGCCAAATTATGAGTCAAAAGAGATCCAAACTTTTGCCATTTTTTCTACACTTCTGACTGAGCTCAAATAGAGCCCCCATGGACCCTGAATGTGAACATGAAACGCTTTCTCCTGCATCAAGAAACCAAAACTGTAATTTTTTCGAGCAACGGCCTTGAATTTATGGCTTTATCAAAAAAAGTATTGGCAGATGGAACTTTTAAGACAGCACTTCCACCCTTTTTCCAGTTTTAATTTATACTTGGGTCTTCTTGAGAAAGGATAAGAGGATAATTCCTGTCGTATGGGTTTCCTCAGGCAAAAGAAGGCAGGAAATCTGTCAAATATTGGATTTTTACGATAAACAATCCAAGAAAGTATTGGAATTTTGTTTATGACAGACAACATAACTCCTGACTATGAGACTGACTTGCCTGCGATTCCAGAACTTTTTTTGCGTCAAAACTGTGCGGTTGCGTGTTCCATTTTTCTCAGTGCGTTTTGAGAAAAGCCCCAAAATTCTGATTGTATAACTTAAACTCGGTAACTGGATCGAAAAATTGTTGAACCTGAAATTCTTGAACCTCGTGGGAAATATATCTGAGTACGATTATTGGGATGAAATAGCGCTAATTTAATGTCAACTTCTTCGAAACTACGCTATTCAGGGCTAACCCTTCCCGCACCGAACTTTCTCTGTTAGTTAATAATCAATTATAGGAAAGTGAAAGCTCATATAGCCAAAACAATTAAGAATTTTTTTTTGCCATATATATTGGAATTAGAATCTGTTTTTCTATCTATATAATACCAAGGAAAAGTATTTTTCGTCTCCATAGAACTGCAACATAATCCATCGTTTTTTCTTCATATAAGCCCAATAAAATGTATTTTTTGTACCACATAATGACAATAAAAAATCTATTTTCATCATAAATTTTCAATACAAAATTGACTAGGTCTAATCATTATTTTCTACTTCAAAAGCAAAATAAAAAACATTGCTTTTATAGAATCTTAACACTAGTGAATTCAATTTATGCACTAACTTTTTTTATCAATCTTGATTTTCAGTTTATTAGCGCATTTTATAAAAGCAATGATTTTTATTTTGGTTTTAAAATAGAAAATCATGTAAACAATGCGTCATCTTTGTATTGCAAATTTATGGGGACAATAGATTTTATGTCATTATGTTGTACAAAAAAGATATATTTTATTGGGCTTATCAAAAGAAAAAACGATAGATTATCCATTCTTCAATTTATTGCCTTAGATTGTTTTGGAACTAAAGCTGAATTTTCTACTAACAATTTTTAATGAATTCATCGTCGAAATGCTCCATTTTTTTGCTTATTTTTTTTAAAACTAAATTGCACGTTTATGTCTCTCTTTATTGCCTTAGATGGTTTCTCAAACTAATCAGGAACTTTAAAAAAACTCTAGCCAGCCAAAATTGACGTTTTTACTGATGCACTATTTTTGTTGTTTGTGGTTTTTAAGTAATTGTTTTTTTAAGCCTAAATTTTTTGCCTTAGAATGTTTCGGAACTGAAAATTATCAAAAACTTTTTAAAAATTCTAGCAAAAAAATTAATAACTAATACAGATAATTTTTAGTTATTTTGAGGTCGCAGTGATCCATGTTGGTTGCTCTGGTTTTCAATTTTAAACTAAAAAAATTAAAACTAAACATTTATGCTTAAAGTGTGACATGTGTTT